ATTTCTGGAAAGTTAAGAGATGCATGGGGGAAAACTGAGAGACCCTGAGAAACTTTTCTGGGGGACCAAATCACATGGTAGTAGCAGAATCAGCAATAACCTGGGAGGGATATCTGGAGTCGTACACACAAGCAACGCACAAGGATGCAGTTGAGTTTTGTGTCTGTTGCTGAGCAGACATGTATTCTGTTGTTCTGTTTGTCACTAGACAAGGCATCAGCAGGGTGGGTGGGTCTAGATGAGACTCCTTGGCTTGCTTTTCTCTACAGTTTTACACCTTTGTAGGCTTGTGCCTCTCTGTACATGGCCATCCTCCATCTCCCTGTCTCTCTGTCTTTGTCTCTCTGTCTCTCTCTTCTCTTACTGTTTTTATGCTGCCCGGATGCAATCTAGGGCCTCATACATGCTAGGCAATTGCTTTACCACTCAGCTACATCTCCGGGCTCTAGTCTTGCCTGCCTGCCTTCCTGCCCGCCCACCCACCTTCCTTCCTTCCTTCCTTCCTTCCTTCCTTCCTTCCTTCCTTCCTTCCTTCCTTCTTTCCTTCCTTCTTTCCTTCCTTCCTTTCTTCCTTGCTTCCTTTCCTCCCTCCCTTCCTTCTTTTTTGACATAGGGTTTCATCTTACAGTCCAGGCTGGCCTGCCACATGTAACTCTCCTGTTTCTGCTGAGATTACAGGCGTGATGGAACATAATCCCTAAGTGATACATTGCCTCATTTCAAGCAGCCTTCACACAATTTCTTCCTGGTTTCTACCACTAACAGCTTTAGTTTATTTATTTTTTCCGTTTTTCTTTTGTTCTTGTTTGAGACAGAGACTCCCTATATATAGTCCTGTCTGGCCTCTAACTTATGATCCTCCTGCCCCAGCCTCCTCAGTGATGAGATTACAGGTGTGCACCATCATGCTTAGCTGCTGAATGTGCCTAGTGTTTTCCTAAAACCTTGCAAGCTTACATTCAAATTCAGCCACTTGTTTTTTTTTTATTCAAATGCACTAGTGGATTGGTTTCTATAGATTCAAGCACCTGTATTGGAGGGGAATGTGTCATACAATTGAGCACAAGAGAAACAACCTGCTTCATCAATGCAACATTTAATCAGAAATACATCATCATTTGCACTTGCCATAATAGCAATAAAGTAAGATTGATCATCTAACAAAAGAACCTAGTGGCGGTTAAGTCATTTGGTTTGAAAAGGCAACACAACTTAAAACAATCCATCAAGCTTTCAGGCTTAATATGTGCGCATTCTTCCCTTAATGCAATTCTCTCCTCAGAAAGAATGTATCATGCTTTGATGCCTAAAATATACGTATTGTTTCCTTGATCAAATGCTTTGTCTTCCATATAAAATTACTTCTCTACTTGCCTTCTTTCTCTCTCATACAGTACACTGCCAGCTGAACACTTGGCATTCTCCTGGAATACAAGAATCAGCTCCAAGCCTGGCATCCTCTGAGAGCGAATAAACCATGATAGAGAATTTGGCTTCCCAGGGATATGTTTAAAGCGGGGCCTCTTGGTGAATAAAAAAAAAAACTACCTAGGAATTGTTCCTTCTTTTGAGATGAGTTGTACATGTATTCTCATCTTATTGGCTACAGACGACTTTCTGCAGTTGAGACTTTTTTTTTGGTGGTTGTGGGGCTTGAACTCAAGGCTTGGGGTGCTGTCTCTAAGTTCTTTCATTCAAGGCAAGTGTTCTACTATTCTGAGCCACAGCTCCACTTCGTTTTCTGGCAGTTAATTGGAGATGAGTCTCATGGACTTTCCTGCCCGGGCTGGCTTTGAACTGTGATCCTCAACTCTCAGCCTCCTGAGTAGGAGACTATCTTTTTTAAGAACCTTGGAGGTGCCAGGTGTTGGTGGCTCATGCCTGTAATCCTAGCTACTCTGGAGGATGAGATCTGAGGATCACAGAGTGAAGCCTGCCCTGGCAGGAAAGTCCATGAGACTCTTCAATAAACTACCAAAAAAGCAGAAGTGGAGCTGTGGGCTCAAGTAGAGCACTAGCTGTGAGCAGAGAAAACTTAGGGACAGCACCCAGGCCCTAAGTTTCAGTCTTAGGACCAGCACACACACACACACACACACACACACACACACACACACACACACACACACACACAAAGCTGTAGTCCACCCTCCTTGCTGAGGACACGAAGTGCCTCAAAAGTGGTTATCCAGGGGCTGGGAAGGTGGCTCAGTGGTACAGCGTTTGCCTTGCATGCCTGAGGCCCTGGGTTCGATTCCTCCGTACCACATAACTAGAAAAAGCCAGAAGTGGCTTTTCAAGCCCCACAACCAACCCCCCCAAAAAAAGAGTGACTCTAATCTTGGCTACAGGTTACATTCTCTTGGGGAACAGTTTAAAACTACTCAGACTTTACCTCGGACCAATAGCTTAGTTCCATGGAGATCTGTGGCATAAAAACCACTGGCAAAAAGTGATTTAGCAAGCTGGGTGCTGGATGTTAATGCCTGTAAGATCTCAGGAGGCTGAGATCTGAGAATCAAGTTTGAAGCCAGCCTAGGCAGGAAAGTTCATGAGACCCTTATGTCTAATCAACCACCAAAAAGCTGGAAGTGCGACTGTGGCTCAAGTGGTAGAGTAATAGCTTTGAGCAAGAAAGCTCAGGGACAATGCCCAGGTCCTGAGTTCAACCTTCTGGAATGGTGCAAATGAGCAAACACACAACACACACACACACACTTTAGAGCTAGGCATCGATAACTCATGCCTGTAATCCTAGCTACTAAGGAGGCTGAGATGTGAGGATTATGGTTCAAAGCTAGCTTGGGCAGGAAAGTCTGTGAGACTTTTTTTTGGGGGGGGGGTTGGTCCTAGGGCTTGAACTCTGGGCCTGGGCGCTGTCCCTCAGCTCTTCAGCTCAAGGAGAGCACTCTACCACTTCCAGTTTTCTGGTGGTTAATTGGAGATAAGAGTCTCATGGACTTTCCTGCCCTGGCTGGCTTTGAACTGCAATCATTAGATCTCAGCCTTCAGAAGAGCTCGGATTACAGGTGTGAGCCACTGGCCCCAGCTGTGAGATTATCTCCAATTAAGCACCAAAAGGTTGGAAGTGGTTCAAGTGTTTGGACACTATCCTTGAGCACAAGAGCTCAGGGACTGCACCCAGACTATGACTTCAAGCCCCAAGTCTGACATCATGAGAGAAAAAAAAAAAGCAGGGCTGGGAAGGTGGCTCAGTGGTAGAGCGCTTGCCTTGCATGCATGAGGCCCTGGGTTCGATTCCTCAGCACCACATAAGCAAAATGAAAAAAGCCGGAAGTGGCTCTGTGGCTCAAGTGGTAGAGAGCTCGCTTTGAGCTGAAGAGCTGAGGGACAGCTCCCAGGCCCAGAGTTCAGGCCCCATGACCGGATTTAAAAAAAAAAAAAAAAAGCAATTCAGTTCATGACATTTAATAATGGCCATTTTGATCAGCAGTTAGCCTTCAAGCAAGAACTCTCAACTAAGTAATTCCTCGAATCAAGAAAAGGCACAATCTGTCTAGTTTTTCTTTTGCCAATCCTAGGGCTTCAGCTCAGGGCTTGGACCCTGTTCCTGAGTCCATCTGTACTTAAGGCTAGCGCTCTACCACTTGAGCCACAGCTTTTCCCTTCTGGCTTTTTCTGTGTATGTGGTACTGAGGAGTCGAACTCAGGGCTTCATGCATGCTAGGCAAGCACTCTACCACTAAGCCACATTCCCAGCCCCGTTTGGTTTTTCTTGAGTGTTTTTTTTTAATAGCAGAAGGTATTAAATGTGTCCATCATTTAAGGCTAGTTTTTTCTAAGGAAATCTCCCAAAAGCCAACCTTGCCAACCAATTCACATCCAAAATACTTGGCTGACATCACCACAGACTTTTCAGCAGACAGGGTGTGTGGAACTGAAGCCACCAGGCATGAAAAATGTCCTCGCCTTCCTCCTTGCTGGGTCAGATGGGAGCTCCTGGTGTGGCTGTGGGTGGGACCGGAAGTGGCCGCTGGAGACCAGCTGTTGCATGGTGGGTAGCACCCACAGCTTGGCTTTGGGCGAGAGCACTGTAATAGGGACCCTGCAGCCATTGAAGTATGACATTTCCTAATTAAGGAAATCAGTCATTAACTAGGACTTACAGCCAGCACCTGAACTGAAGTTCTCCTTGGGTTTTCTTGCTGTCCCGTCCCCTCTTTCCCCCCCCCCCCCGTCCCGTCCGCTCCCCCCCCAGGAAAATGAAAAGCAGAAGATCCAGCCGTTACAGTTCCCTGCAGTAACATGACAAGATCGAAGGCTGAACAACATTCCACAGCTGTTTTGGAACCCATTCTGGGAATAAACAAAAGACTGTATATGGTTTTGCCACACTTCAAAAGCACAGGCTCTCTGTGATTTGTACTTGGTCTATAGATGGAAAAGGGGAGCCAAAGAAATCAGGCCAAGAAAAGACAATGACAAAAGAAGGGATTTAATCATCGTGAAGGTTGCAATTAGAATTAAATGTAAACTCCAGAAGATTGCTTCACTCTGAAAAAAAAAACAAAAAACAAAAAAAGAAGGCCAAAAGACTGAGAAGCAGGCAGCCCAGAGCCCGCATGGCTCACACTCACTCCTGATCTAAAAGAACTTCACACTTGAACCTTTTCATCATATGCACAAAGCTCAGGGAAACAAAATAAAACTTTATTATATTGCTAGGAACATTCCTCCTAGAAGGTCCTAACTCTCTCTCCTCTGCTTCCTCATCTCAGTCCTCCCTATCCTCCCCCTCCTCTTCCTTCTCTTCCCTCTCTCCTGCCTTAAAATGTTCACAGACAAGTTAGAGTTGAAGCTGATGGGCAGAAGTTCTAAGCATGAGCAGAACTACCTGGCCAGCGCTAAGGAAAAGAATTCACGTGTTGACCTAGACAGGGGAAAAAGAGCAAAGTGGAAAGTCCAAGGAGGTCCAAGTTGGGGGGGGGAGGTGAGCAAGATGGCTGAAGAACACGGATGGACCCCAAACTCAAACTCACCGAAGGCTTGTGGTGGCTGGAGGGTTGGGGATCTTGTGCAACTGGGAAGGGTTTGACCTTTGGCAAAGGACGAAATCAAGAACACATGGAGGACAGTAAATGAGAACTGTGAAGCAGAGTTGGGAATTTACACAAATTGGAGAGAGGGCTGCAGATGCTCATTGTCTGTGACACCTGAGGTTTTTGCCAAGTTTTCTTCGGTCTCTGAAGGACAGAGAGGCTTCATCTGGGATCTATTTGCAAGGATTTGTGAGACACTTTTCACTTAGGCTGAACAGCTGTGATGCTAAGCAGTGGTTTTTTTCACCCCCCCCCTTCTCATTGATTTTTTATGTGTGCCTGTGTGTGTGTGTGTGTGTGTGTGTGTGTGTGTGTGTACACATCCTGGGGCTTGAAATCAGGGCCTAAGTGCTGTCCCTGAGATTCTCTGCTCTACCACTTGAGCCACAGCTCCATTTCCAATTTTTTGGTAGTTAATTGGACATAAGGGTCTCGCAGACTTCCCCTGATCCTTGCAAATAGTTAAGAATGTTAAGTGAGGGGGCTGGGACTGTGGATTAGTGGTAGAGTGCTTGCCTAGCATGCATGAAGCCGTGGGTTCGATTCCTCAGTACCACATACAAAAAGCAGGAAGCGGCACTGTGGTTCAAGTGGTAGAGTGCTAGCCTGGAGAAAAAGAAGCTCAGGGACAGTGCCACGGCCCTGACTTCAAGCCCCAGGACTTGCAAAAAAAAAAAAAAAGCCCAGGAACAATGCCCAAGTCCCCAGGACTGGGGGAAAAGAAAGAATATTAAGTGAGCTCATACCTGGATTGGGGGAGGGGAGGAGCTGTAAATATGATGAAAAAAGGCAGAAAAGAAGAAGACCCAGAGAAAAGATGGCCATCCACAGGAAGATAGAGGTAAAGAAAGGAATTGGCAAGGGCTTTTCTAGCTGCCACCAGATGATAGGAGTAAGAGGCCTGTTGCTGATAATCAACACTTCAGAACACAGAAGGGGCAGCAGTTCAGAGATTGTGGTGTTGGCAATATTTCTGATGGTTATTCAGGGGAACAATATGTGATTTTGACATTCAGAGACTAGTGAAATAAATTGGTCACATGGTTCCAGTTACCTCTTTGAGCACTTACTTGGGCTAGCATATTAGTGTGGCTACCAAGGAAGCAGACAGCGCCCTCTGGTGGAAATATGAAGACACTCCTGGGCTGTATCAACCACCATCACTAATGGCATTTAATGTGAACAATCTGATGTCTGTATGCATACAAACATCCCATCACCCCAATCAAGGTCACATATATAATTGAAGAACTCCAACATTTTCTTTGTGTCCCCTTTTCTTGGGGGCACAGCTAAGAACCCTTGAAATCGATCCTGTTGAGAGATTTTGAGGGGGGCACTGGGGGCTCATCTTTGTAATCCTAGCTGCTCAAGAGGCTGAGTCTGAAGGATGACAATTTTTTTTTTTGTCGGTCGTGGGGCTTGAACTCTGGGCCTGGGCGCTGTCCCTGCGCTCTTGAGCTCAAGGCGAGCACTCTACCGCTTGAGCCACAGCGCCACTTCCGGTTTTCTAGTGGTTTATTGGAGATAAAGAGTCTCACAGACTTTCCTGCCCGGGCTGGCTTTGAACCGTGATCCTCATATCTCAGCCTCCGGAGTAGCTAGGATTACAGGCGTGAGCCACCGGCGCCTGGCTAAGGATGAGAATTTGAAGCCAGCTTGGACAGAAAAATCTGTGAGACTCCATCTCCAAAATAACCAGCAAAAAGCAGGGCTGAAGGCACAAAGGTGAGCAAGCTGGAGGCCGAGAGAGAGAGGGAGGGGGAGGTTTTGAAGTATAAAATGCCCCATTGTTAACTCTAGGCTCTATGTGGTACAGTAGATATCTAGAAATTACTTAGCATAAGTGTGTGGTTCTACCAGTGGATAGTGCCTCATCTAGTTCCCTTCCATTTTCCTCTCCTGTGTGCTCCTTCCCTCCACACCTCTTTACTCCACTTAATCTCTTTCTGCCTAGCACTTAGCTTTTTCAAAACAACTTGCTGAGCCAGGTGCCAATAGCTCACGTCTATAATCCTAGCTACTCAGGAGGCTGAGATCTAAGGATCACAAATTGAAGCCAGGCCAAGCAGGACAGTTCATGAGACTCTTATCTCCAACAAACTACTTAAAAAAGCCAGAAGTGGTACTGTGGCTCAAGTGGTAGAGTGCTTACCTTGAGCAAAAGAAGCTCAGGGACAGCACCCAAGCCCAGAGTTCAAGCCCAAGGACCGACCCCCCCCAAAAAAAACCAAACAAAAAAAGCCCCCAAAACAAAAAGGAAGTTGCTGTATTGGTCTCCAGGGTAGCTGTAACAACTACAATTTATGCTGTCCAAAATCAAGCCAGGTGCCAGTAGCTCACTTCTGTAATCCTAGCTACCCAGGGGGCTGGGATCTGAGAGATCTGAGGACAGTGGCTTGAGGCCAACCCTGGGCAGGAAAGTCTATGAGACTCTTATCTCCATTAAACTACCAAAAAGCTGGAAGTAAAGCTGTGGCTCAAGTGGCAAAGCACTGGCCTTGAGTAAAAGAAGCTCAGGGACAGCGCCCAGGCCTGAGTTCAAAGTCCCAGGGCAGGCACCAAAAATAAAATAAAAAAGGTTCACTGTAAAAATTCATGCTAATATTCATATTTTCTTTACTTTGAATGACATGAAATAGCAAATGAAAAACATGCCCCCCAAAACCTATCATGCAAATAACTCTCTCTCTCTCTCTCTCTCTCTCTCTCTCTCTCTCTCTCTCTCTCTCATGCTAGTCCTGGGGCTTAGGCCCTGTTCCTGAGTTTCCCTTTGCTCAAGGCTCATGCTCTACCATTTGAGCCATAGTTCCATTTCTGGCATTTTCTCAGTAGTTCATTGGTGATGAAAGTCTCACAGATGGAGACGGAAGGGAGAGACTAGGTGAGAGTGAGGGAAGGGAAGACATTGTACAAAAGAAATGTACTCGGGTTGGGAAGGTGGCTCAGTGGTAGAGCGCTTGCCTTGCATGCCTGAGGCCCTGGGTTCGATTCCTCAGCACCACATAAGCAAAAAGAAAAAAGCCGGAAGTGGTGCTGTGGCTCAGGTGGTAGAGCGCTAGCCTTGAGCTGAAGAGCTGAGGGACAGCACCCAGGCTCAGAGTTCAGGCCCCACAACTGGACCCCCCCCCAAAAAAAAGAAATGTACTCATTGCCTGACTCGTGTAATTGTAATCCCTCTGTACACCACTTTCCCCTCGCCTCTGTACATCACCATTATAATAACAATAAAGTAAAAATTTAAAAAGTCTCACAGACTTTCCTAGCCAGGCTGGCTTTGAACCACAATCCTCACACCTCAGCCTCCTGAACAGCTAAGATTAAAGGCATGAGCCTCCAGCACCCAGCTCTATTCTTTCTTTTGAGGGAGAGAACCCACACTTGTGTTTTACACCCCGTTCCACTTAGTTAGAGTGTGCTACATGGAGAAGGATTTAGATTTAGGGACATAGAGAACTGTGCTTTCACTCACATTTCCCTCCTAATTCTCTGAGAGTCCTGAAAGAGCAGGTGACATGTGTCATTCCCGTTTACATGTGGAAATGAGATAGAATTTAAAAGCAATTGCTGTTTTATCTCCCAACTTCAAAAGAGCTGGAACGTCTTAGCCGGTCTTGCTCACTGCTGATGTTAGTAAAAAGGTTGTTTTCACAAAGGCATCCATAAATTACCCTCATTAGACATCCTTTTGAACTAGAGGAAGAGATAAAGCAGGATGAGAGAGCACACTAGCGAGTGAAAGCAATCTGGCTTTATGTTGCATCAAACTGATGTTCCGTTCATCAACTACAACTTCTTTAGTGGTGTTTTGTTTTGTTTTTTTTGGTACTGGGGTTTAAGCCCAGGGTCACTTGCTTGCTAGAAGGGCATTCTACCAATTGGGCCACACAGCCTTTTTTTCTTCTTTTGCACGAGCTATTTTTTGGATTGGGTCTCAAGTTTTTTCCCAGGGTACACTACCACTTGAACCACACCTTTATCCCAGCTTTTTGCTACTTTTGGAGACGGAGTCTTAGAAGTTTTTCTGTTGAGGTTGGTCTTGAACCTCTATCTTCTGGATGTCAGCCTCCTGTGTAGCTAGGATTACAGGTATGAGGCAACCAGTACTTAGTGAAGTCATTTTTGCAAGTATCATTTAGGGCAATAAGATTTACATTATTTTTGTCTCTCTTTTTCCCCACTTTATTCAGACTTAAAGATCTGGCCAAAAAAAAAAAGAGAGAAAGTTTTATTTGCAGAAAAACATTATCATGGATAGTTTTGAAAACTCTGGAAAAGTTCTTCGTTGGCAATTCTATTAACTATTGGACAAGAAATTGGAGGAACAGTCCCACTCGCCACCCCGTCTTGCTTAATTCAGCTCTTCAAAAGAGGTTCGCTTAAGAATATGTGTTTCCATCCCAGAAATGATTAGTGGACGGTTAAATTATAAGAAGAAGAAGAATTAACATCTTGAATGAAAGGCTATATAATGAGGGAGTTTGAAGTGGGAGAAAATTGCTCCCAAACAGAATAGAATTTTGAAGAAGAGAAAAGCGAGTCCAGCTATTTATGTACATTACCCGTTTCGTTCATTATTCTTCAGGCTTCTTTGTCATTATGACTGGGTCTTTCTTCACCTGCCGAATCCTTTGGCTTCTCTCTAGCTAGAGTTTGGCTGAGGTTACACTACTAAAATACAAGTACACTGTCCATGTAGACTGTGCAGCAACATAGGAATGGATAAAGCTGGCTTCTTTTCCTTTTCTTGCTCTCATTCTTTTTCTCATTTCGTCTAAAAAATTTTTTTATTGTGATAGAAACATACATCAATTTTACATCTTAGCCATTTTTTTCTTCACTTCCATTTTACCACTTTTTAAGTGAGTTTTTAAAAATACTGTTATTATAAAGGTGATTTACAGAGAGGTTACGGTTACATAAGTCAGATTAAGAGTACATTTCTTTTTAGACAATATCACTCCTTCCCTCACTCTCTCCCAATTACATCTTCACCATGTTCAGTGGACAATTCAGTAGTGTTTTAAAATAAACTCTCATTGTATG